TCCGTCTTCTCCAGGTGCAACTGCGACGGCAAGACCTTCTTCATCAAGGTGGGGAGCCCTCCCTGCGGGGAGCGGGCGCGGCGGGCAGGCGGGAGGGCACACCGGCAGGACAGGCCGGCTTAAAAGAAGGTGCAGGTTTTGAAACGCGGCTCCGCGAAGAGGAGCCGCGTGTTGGTCATTTTATAGAACAAATGGCGTTTTCACACAGCGTGGAGGCTTTGAAACTCTGCGGGTGAAGGTGTCTCTTCCCCAGCTGCCCCTCGTCTGCTCGTCAGGAGAAAACTCAATTCAGGGTTTTTTTCCCCTGTAATTGGCTAGGAGACACAGCACTGACAGAATAACTGGTAATTGAGTAATATTTACACAAGTCACACTTCAAAAAAATCCAGCTCTTTCAAATGTGGGTATTTTATCATGTCTTTCTCTTGCCCACACACGGCCTATATTAGTTCCCAATACATTTCTCTTCCTGAAGGAAGATGATAATGAAATGCACACGCCTCGTTAAAGACATTATACAGTTATGTCCCAATTAATCACTCGGTCCTGGAATTCAAGCAGCTTTTCTACCTGCGAGAGAAAGCGAACAAAACAGTTCGTTTCTAAGATAACTCTATTCCTACTCAAAGGCGGTGTTAAAAGACTGCAGAAGGTATTTTATGAAGCTGTAATATTTTTTTCCTGTTTTTAATGGATTTAGGAGTGATTCCAGTCAGCTTTACAATGTAGTTATCAAAATGCTAGTGTTATGATTATTTTTCATGTCTGTGTTGAAGCTTAATTATCAAGAATAAATTTCCTCTAAAGCTCATTTTTTCCTTAAATCATCAGGGCCCCCTATACTGGCGTTTCACTAACGGTGTTATGGATAAAGGCTATCCCAAACCTCTTGCAAATGGATTTGCAGGACTAAATGGGAAAATAGTAGCAACCCTCCCCGTGGCAAGATACAACAACAGACCAGAATCTGTTTATTTTATCAAAAAAGGTATGTCTCATATTTTAGAATTTCACAGACAATCAGAAAGTGCTTGAATTGCATTAGTCAGGAATAAAACACCATTTCTCTTGACTGAAAGACATTTTTCTTTCAAAACCATAAGTGATGTCAGAGCATGCTTAGGTGCTCAAAAAATAGCCTGAAGCTTTAAAAATTTGTATTAGTACTTACAGATCTTCAAGTGCATTTTAAATAGACAGGACTGTAAGGGACAGAATCCAGCATCTTAGTGAACAAACATTAAAATAAGTTTTCTCTGGTGGTAAAACTATTTTAGTCTCAAGTTAATTAGAGAAGGGGAGGCTTTAATCTTACTACTTCATAACGATGTATGGAAATGTCCCTCCCTATTTCTTATTCCATATTACATTATGTAATATGTAATTTCCTTCTCTTATATGAATGATGTACTGCCAACATAAGAATTGTTATCCGAATTTAAAAAGCAGAGGTTAAGGAAATGTGCAAATCTTTTTCTGGACTCCGGCCCCCGTCTTGTGCAGCCCAAAATGATGGTCGTACCCTCTCCTCGATAAATAGGAACGATGGCAGCAGAAGTAGTTCCCCTGGAATTGTACTTACTACAGTAACTGTAATGAGCCTGCAGGAGGTATCGCTACATCTAGAAGCACATGTTGGATTTAGAGAGCAAGGCTTTTATCTCAAAATGTAGCAATGGATATAAAAAGCTGAAGGCTTTTATATTAAAATGCTGCTATTGATTTCCTGCGTGATATGGAGATCAGTGACATTTTCATCTCTGATCTAGCTGGTGGTTTGGTGGTCTTAACCACATGAAACAAATGTCTATTTTAGATGGCAATATGCAACAGTATGTGTACAGGCAAGAACCCGCCAAGAAGTGTCAAAGAAGAACCCAGGTTACCGTAAGATACCCAGTTTACGTCCCAAGACTTGTAATAAGGAGACGCTTTCAACGTGCAGTAAGAATGCCAACCGTTATTCAGACTGTCAGAATGAACCCATATCCATCTGGTAACTTACGTTTATTAAGTTTCTTTTATACAACCGTTTTAATCTTAGTAGTTTCTGAAACACAACATTCTGTTCCATTTTTTTTTTTAAATATAGTACTTTTAAAGTTTTTAATCCAATAGATCTCGCTTGCTGTAGATGATACAAGCAAATAGTAGCTTACAGCAGACACACGGCGACACCTCCTAACTTAAGTTTTCTTTTGCTTGCAGGAGTTTTGCGTAAGGAAATCAAAACAAACACCTACTGGAGAGGGCTCCCGAAAGTAATTCATTCAACTATATCACTACCCAACCACAATAAGCCAGATGGCTATGATTATTATGCCTTCTCTTACAGTAAGTTAAAGCTAATGCAAGTTACTATACATTTCAAAAGACTAAGGGATGGGGAAGAAAGAAGTGTATGTCTGAGCTTTCCGAAGCCTGAGGTTACTGCTTGTGATTCTGCAAGACTAATTTTAAGCACTACTAAAAAGTCCTGAGAATTAAAGCGTTTCCTGTAATCAAGAGATGTTTCTATTCAAAATGAATAGTTACAGGACAACTAGCAGCAACAAGGTACAATGATTCAAACTAGCCAGTTGTGGAATGCATTGCCGTAAGAGTTCAGGCTTATAAAGTGACAAAAAACCTGACATACTGTATTAATGATAGAGTGAAATCCTTGGACCACTACACATCGATAGTTTTTTCACTGGCTTCCATGGAGCTATGTTTCTGACAAAACAAAACAAAAAAGGGAGGGACACAAACCATTTTGCTTCACAGGAAAAAATTATTCATGATTCTAGATTAGGTAGATCCTTTCCCTCTAGCCAGGATCATGTAAAAGCACTCCTCAGAATTTTCTGTATTATTCAGAAAAAAAAAGCTCTAAGAACTAGCCGTATCCAAATACAGGATACTAAAGTAAGTCTCTGCCAATATGATCTAATTCCTAACCTGAAGGTAGGCCAAGTCACACTCAGGGACCACGGAGTTCCCACTTTTGTAGTCAGTGCAGGATTGTTTTGTTTCTAGTTTGTTTGATTTCCAAATTCTTAAGACTATTTCTGTGTTCTAGCAGTATAAGAGTATTCTTCCCTACTCCCTGTTCTTGGGACAGATTCAATTATTAGCAGTACTGTAAAACTTAGCTAAACACAAAGAAGGACATGTAAAAAATAAAGTTGAGGACAAAAATTCATTGTTATAGCCGCTCAACTCCATATATATATGTGGAATGAAAAATCTGTTATTCATGCCTAAATGAAATTAAAAGGAAGGCTTTAACTTCAAGATTTTTTCCATGTACTAACTGTAGTTTGTGGAATTTAATTCTGACCTATCTTCATTTCAGATCGGTACTACAGTTTGGATGTTGGCAAAAGAATAGCAAGACCTGTTACCGCTCTCACAGGAAAGACTGTATCCAAAGACTGGTACAACTGCCCTAGCAAGTGATGCACAGCAGAGGATTTTAAAAAAAGATGCCATTTGAATGTTGACATTTTGTCTAATTTTATTAATAAAGACATTGAAATGTGTGCACACAAATCTAAGTATAAAATGCTGCTTTAAGCTCTGGCTTCATTACACTAAAGCAACCACAGGCAAACTGGCACTTTTGTATACACAGCTGTAATTACTTTACAGATCATTTAACTAATATTTCCTCTGTTCAGGCCTCCTCTGCCTCCCATTGCATGAGTGACACCTGTGTTGGGAAAGAAAACAAATGCATTAACAGAAATCCTTTTCACCCTTTTAATCAACCGTTGGTACGTGTGATACTTCATCCTTCCGTAAGGAATTGCCACTGCGGTGGAGCACTTCCTTTCCGGTAAAATTCAAGCTCCCCCTTCATCCCTAGAGCCTGGTGACATGGATACATTCTACTTCTGTCATTTAAAAGAACGTTGCTGGCTTGTGATCCTATCTCAGGCCCCGCGCCAAAAGAACAAGTATAGCATTCTTACTTTATTTGAAATCAGACAGTCCCTCCCTTTTGTTATTAAAGAAACGGGGATAGACTAGAAAGAAAATCTATCCTAGGTCTACCTCCTCATTTTTTTTTCCCTTTAAAATACCAGATACCTGTATTTCAATGCTACTATAAAGTTTTCTATGATGTTATAATAATGCCAAACTGAATATAATTCACCTAAGGATTTTTCTTAATACAGAAGTTGCAAACAATAATTTATTGTCATGGTTTAACTCTATACTGCATTACAAAAATCTGTAACACTTAAATAAACTTTTTTTTGCTGGTTTTTTAAATCAGCGTAAGACATAGTGAGATAATAACTGGAATCCTACATACCAAATGGGAAACTGAAATGTAATGTTAAAAACAAAGATTTCTAAACTTATGTCCTAACATAATTTTTTAAAATCTTCTTTTAAAAATTTGTGAAGTTTAAGATCTGCTGCACTTTACTTTTTCCCCATTGATAAGAACCAAGTGCCACGTAAGAAGAAAGTTTGCCTACCTAAAAACCGCTCAGACTAACATACTAAAACGAAACTACAGAGCTCTGCCGGTAACGTATTGAAAGCTAGGGTAGAGATGCTGTATTATTTAATGTCATACAAGCAAACACAGGCATACACAGCAGTACTTCATATATGGTCCCCACAGGAAGAATGTACTAAAAACTTGTTTTAAAGAAAAAGAGTCTGAATTTGAGCACCCACGAACGCTTACCCCTCTGTCTGTTGAACTGACGACCACGAACACCAGTTCTCAATGTCGGTGGCTGAAGTCTGACACGTCGAAATGGCTTAGGCTGATTACTGCTTGTGTCTGTGAAGAAGCGGAAACGCAGGAAAGAATGTCTGTGTCTAGTAGTTTCTCAATGTTTACATGATTTGATACGCATTATGCTCTCGAATTTATTTTGAGATTATGAAGGTGCATCCTTATTTCATTGACATATTCTCTGATATAAATAAAAGCCTCAAAAGAAGTAAGTTTGGGACTTCTTTCATCACCTATGCTACGTGGTAAATTGGTAACTCAACAATGATTTTTTTCTTTGACAATTTAATTGAATGAAAAAATATTTTTAAATCTGACATCAAACATAACAGTGGATAGAATCAACAAAGTATCAATAACTTTGGCTCCTTGAAGCATTATTCTTACTATGGCCTACTCTAGTTACTGCGGTCCAAGTAAAAATTGTTTGCCATTAAGACTATAGGCATCAAAACATGATCTTGCTCTACGAGTTCTATTTTGTTTTGTGTATCTTGGCTATCAGCAGTGATGCCAGTCCAAAAAGTTCCCATGCTTAATGAAATGGTATGAAATAACTGCTTCCAGCAATTAACCCGTACCTGCAGATGAACTAGAAGGAGGATCTTGACTAGTCGAAGGAAGATCTGACTCATCAGATGCTTGCACAGATTCTTCTTCTTGCTGGCTATCAATTTCTAGGCCTGCTTCTGAAGTAATTCTAGAAAAGAAGGAGGGGGAGGAAAAACATGTAAGCGTATTCATAGTTTCAAAAACCTCAGGGAAAAAAGCATCATGTTGGAGCAGAAGGTTTCATATGCAAATGTCTTGCCCCAGAAATTCTCACTGGTTTTATTCTGTTTTCTCCTGTTCCCCCTGCCCCAATCATGAGAGATTTTTCTGGCTTTTAGAAAAATAACAATGTAATTTCCTTGATATGCAGCCCAACTCCAGATGCATATTCAACATAATAATTGTCTTTCAGAGGAGGTCATAGAACCTATTTAATAACAATAACTAAAAAACCTAACGTGATGGTGGTATGTTTAGACAGGGGAAGAGTGAAGCGGAGGGACCACACTGACCGGTTATGCCTAAAGATCCCTCACTGGTGCAATACCTAAGTTATTTTGTCTTCAAAAGACAAAAAATCAAAAAAATAAACATTCAATTTAGTTTAAATGCAGCTCACTTTCTGGTATACATTTTATTTACCTTGATTAGTATGTGTTAGAAGATGGTAACTAAAACTCATAAACTGCGGGAAGTATCTGTTCTCTGCTAGCAACAGATTGACTTGGTCTCCTATCAAGCTAAAAGCCTGTTCCAAACTACAGATTGTTCTGTGAACCACTTAGTTTCTCTATGGATCTACTTCTCATTCACTGAAGATTAGACGGTTTTGTAAGAAACAAATATGAGACCTTAACATTAGAATACCCATCCTACACTCTATCTACTTGTAGGCAGACTATTGCAGTCCAAGTTGGTGCTGCATCAAGAAAACTGTGTGGCATATTTTCATTTCCTTATGACCAAACCTCTTACCTCCTGCAATCAGTAGATAAAAGTTTAGGTAAATTGTGATCTTTTATTATTATGCAACCAATAAAAATCAAAAGTAAAATATAGCAGAAAATGATAACCTACCCCCTTTTAGATTTGTAATGTATTTGATCATAATACAAAATATAGCAATTATTAAACATTAAAAATTGCACTTGCAAAGTGGAAGACAAAATAATTTGTCTATCAAATTCCTCAAACCTGCTTATACCCCTTCCCTTGTGCTACATCTTTTGTACTTGCACTGCCTTAACTGAATGACTTCATTATATATGCTTGCTTTTAACAGGGAGTGATTTTCTCTATTAACAAACAGGAATGCTTTAGCCTTTATTCTACAAACCCCAGTCCTTCAAACTGGGGCCTTTACCATCAGTATTTGACTACGAGAGAGCCCTCTGCATTCTGAAAAAATACAGATATCTCTTTTACTTGGCGACTTTTATATTAGCTATGTTAAATCAGAAGAAAATCAGAAGAAAATCTTTGGTTTAGACGAAAAGGTCAGATTGTACTATTTCACAAAATTACTAAATCCTGTTTGAACTGTCCTTCCTACCAGAAGAGGTTAAATTGAAAATGAACCACAGACACACTTGGATGAAAACAAATTATTAAAACTAACATGCCATCAAGTCTTAGTGAACCCAACAAGTCATCGTTTACCCTTCAGATTCTGCCTCTGCAAAAACTTCATCCCCATCATCACCAGCTCCAGCCTCTGTAGTGGTGGACAGATTGCCAGTAGACGTCGTAACCATTGGAACAGACTGAGAAGCATGCTCTGAAGCATCAGCTGATGCACTTTCAGTAAAAACGGTCACTGTACAGGAAAGGTAGTTCAATAAACATCGAGTTAGTTTGAATTTCCTACAGAAAAACTATAGAAATCTTAGGCATTGCTACTCCTGACATAGCAATAAACTCTGTAACAACAATAATCTAATTCTTTTCTGGAAAGTCAAGGTTTACAACCTTTACTTCAGCCTGCAAATGTCTTGCCACTTACCTGGTGCTGCTACTTGTAATGGTGTTGTGGGAACGCTACGACCACCTGATTCTTCCTCATGAGCAAGGAATAGTGGGGTCTCATACATTCCTAAACCTGCAACACAAAGTTGTAGTGACAATTAAAACAGCCAGCTAAAAACCAGATTAATGGTCTTTTCTCTGTACACTTGATGAAATCCTGTGATTTGTACTTAAATATGGAGATTTTTGTTATTTTAAGCTGTTTTGACTTACTGCCAGAGCTAATGATAATTTATTGAAAAGTAAAACCTTGATGAAAGTATTTCTATTTGTTTTACTTTCACCCTTTTCTTATGCCATTATTTTGCTGTGAGCTTTCTTCAAAGAACAGCATACTGTTCCATGCTGACAGGAATGCATGGGAAAGGGACTGATTCAGGACAACAGTAAAAACAATATAGACAAGTTGCCTGGCCGTCTCTTAGCAGGTAAGGATGTATCCCAAAGATTTCTTTGCATTTGCCGTTTTCCCCTATTGTTTTACTACAGGAAAGCTACAATCAACAGTAAAATTAAAGTTAAAAGCCATTCCTTCAATATTTCATTTCTCCTTAAATGAATTTTCTTGTGTCCAGCAGGCAATTTGTCCTACATAACATTTCAGCTTCTCTGGTTCAGGAGCCTGTTGTTCCCACCCACAGAAGCATTCTACTTTTTAAACCATATTACAAATAAAAGGAAATATTACAGCTTGAAGGAAACACCTTTTTACTTTCTGTTAGTCTCTCTCTGCTGACAATTATTTAAGAGTCACAGGTTTCCACACTTCAACAAGTGCCTGAAGTAGAATTGCATTTTATTGACTGCATTATTTGTTTTCTACTCTAGCAACCATGGAAAAGGAAGTACAGAAATGGTTTACCTCCTTGTGATGCAAGCTGACCAAGATCAGAGTGACTTGAGCTAGTCTGTGGCATATCTTCAGGGGGTCCAAATCTGAATCTAGGAACTCCAGCTACCTGGGGAGAACTATCAAAATAAAGATATAAGGAATTCTGCAATTTTTCCAATGATGGGGGGGAGGGGAAGGGGCAACTTTCTGACCAGAACAAGAGAACAAATTATGCATGACACAACATAAATTAATACTGACCATAAAAATCAGCTAAACTACTGCTAATTAAATAGTAATTAGTTTAAGAAACTTGTTTGGACAGCATCTGAAATCAGTAAAACAGTCCTGAAGAGAATATTCTTTCCTTATTCATCCTATGAATTCTCACAATTTTAAATAGATGGCTGAACATGTCCAGAACCGACCCAAATCCAAAAATGGAGATAACTTTTCCTACTTTTATTGGTAATATTAGTGGGCAGGGCGGGAGGGGGGGAATGAAATAAAAAACCTTTTTTTTGTTTTTTTGCTTAATCTCTTCTTAAGTCAGTAAGTTACAATACATTGGAGATGATCTGCCTCCTAATTTGCTGATAAGTTTCATGATACGCAGTTCAAATAATGATTACTTATTTGTAGATGCAGTCATCTATCATACTACTTAGCAAGTTTTAGCACGTTACTCCAATCACAAGTTCATTTCATTTGAATTTATTTTCATTCCACTGAAAAACAGAAAGAAATAGATCCTTTTTTCTTTTTCTTGACATCTACTTACTGAATGGCTTCTGCAAACCCATCTGTACGATGTGGAACTACAAGAGTTGGTGTGCTTGGAACTGTTCTGTCCTCATCATCAAAGAAGTGTTGCTGCTGGAAAAAAAGAGACTGATATGAGAGCCTACAATGTATTTCCAGTTTCTACCAAGCCAAGTTAAAGGTTGGTTTGCTTTTTCCACATTGTCCAGCAAAACAAAGACAGATTTAGCTCTAACAAAATTCTTGTCTAATTTGAGGCATCTAAATCTGAGCTAGTTATATACATCACCCTTACAGATGGTAAAAAAAAAAAAAACCCAAACCAAACCAAACCCCATACATTTGCAGGGCACCCATCTTTCAAAGGATTTTTAGACATCTGCTCCATGAGATCATCATACCATCAAAGTGCCACATCTCCCTGTTGACTACAAAGGAATCTTAGGGTGACTCATTCATAAATAGATAAGAATCATCTGTCTTAATCTGGAATGCTGTAATGTACCTACCATATGGGTTTTTTCACATATCAGATCATCTGTTCCCTATAGACTTTTGTCCTTTGTGTCCTTTGTTCCCACATTGCCAGAAACCTCAGCTCTCTCTTCCCTCATAAGGCATTCTCTTCATCTCCCTGTCTTTCTCCCAGATCTTTCAAACCTTTTTCTCCAAAATAGTCCTCAACTCCCTGCCATGTGCACAGTTACTGTCTAGGCAAAAATCAGTAGGTACTGAGATCAGTTCCAAGCAGAAATTGAACAACAAGTACATGCAAGCCAAGCAGAATCAAAAACTGAGCTGATGCCTTTGACATCAGAAAAGATACTTTTTTAGTCAGTCAGTCTTTCTCCCCTCCTTCACTGAACTTGCATTTGTTCTGTCAAATACAGTTAAAGTTGCATAAAGGGTTCAAAATTAGCTGAAGGAGACAGACAGAAAGCGTAAATGAATTAGCTTTGTTCCCCTAGGATGAGGCTGAAAACATTTCCGCCCCCCCCCAGTAATATATCCACTTTAAAGACTGATTCTAAAAACAAGTAGTTAAAAATGCCTTGGACAAAACAAATTCAAACTCTTTTGAAGAGCTTTAGCTTCCTGGGACTTTTCTAGTATTTGTCTTCCATTAATACAGAAATTAACAGGACTAAGATACTACACTATCTGCAAGGCTACAGAAACCATACCACGTCTGAAGTCAGCAGCTAGACTTCTTAAAAAAACAAAATAAAACCCAAGAGTTATGAAAGTTCCCTCAGTGCAGGTTTTTAGTAGTAGACTTTAGTATACTTACCATTCCACCTATACCAGGAGTTAGCTGAAGTCCACGGCCCACCGACTGTCTTCGAGTCATCTGGATTCTCTTTATAGTAAAGAAAAAATGAAGTAGTGTGAATGCTTTCGTGGAATTCTAATAACATACAATTGTTCAATCAGAGCCAAGGATAGTGGCTAAATGAGTAAGTGTAACAATGACATGTCAGTGTGCAACACTGCTCCGTACAGCCGTCATACCTTCCTACGGAATAGACCATGGCAGCAGCTACTCCACATCTCGTATCTGCTGCCTGGTCTAACCACGAAAAATAGTGATGTAGGTTTAAACTCTGGGTAAACAACATTACTATCTTACTCAACTTTCTACTGAGGACAGAAAACTTGAACACAGAAATATTGTGGCCCCAAGCCTCGGAACAAGTTAATGGTAAAGCATAATTTCAGTCCGGATATTTTTGCAGAATTCAGAGGCAGAGACTAATAAAAACCCCTGCCAATCTGTCTGAGTTACAACCTGTTCAAGAACAACTTTTGTAGTGGAAATATCAGCAGTCACTGACTGAAACAACACTGGTATAATAACTTCAAGATACAAATCCATGATGAAGGCCTTACTGCTTTTAATGTTCCCTGTCCACCCATAATCTGCAGGACAAGACATGTTAAGTCAGTTTGCTCAGCTACCATTTTTAGGATGCTAAATAGATGTAATCCATTTTTACAACAGGCAGAGTACTTAGGTTTTATTTAGAAGAAATCATACAGTAATTTTTTAAAAGTCTTCTGAACTGCTAAAGATAGTTTATACCTGTACTGGAGGACCCAGTTCTTGAGGAGGAGCATGAATAGTTAGTCGTGGGGGCAGCGGATGTGGTGGTCTGCGTGGTGACTGTGGGGGCCGAGGGGCCTGTCTCTCCGAGGCCGATGACGGCTGCTGTTCTCTTGAACTTTCATGAGGAAAAGTGGACTCCGCAGCACTTGTACTCCCTTCTCCTAAAACATACAGAAGTATAGAGGAGTAAACCCGCACCCTCCAAACTGAGTTGAAAACATGAAGGTAAGTCTTCAAATTCTGCTACTATGTTAACACAGACATTGTTACCCTTGCAAGAGTGGGGACAGCTCAGTACTGTTATTTAAATCACTTAAAAGAGGACTTGTGCCAGCTACGTCAACACCAGCACCGAAACAAACTATTGATTATTCAAGTGCTGATTTAGAGAGAGATTAATCTACTGAGCCACCAACAGCGGTTTCCATAGCAACCAGAGCTTGCAGGGTTTTCAAAGGAATGTAGAATAAATCCAGAAAATAACATTTCAAAAGAATCTACATTTCAGGTTACAATGGTCTTTAGCATTTCGCCTGATATCCTTACTTTTAAGTGCACATTTTAACACATGCAAACCAGCTTCTACATTTTCCCCCCTTACAGACACAAACTTTGAAGAAACATGGAATAACCATACCACTGTTTTGAGAATCTGCTGCCCTCTGGTTGCTTTCACCTCCTCCCATGCTTTCCTCAGTTTCTGTTCCAGGATCTGTACCGTCAGCACCCTAAAAAACCACATAAACATAGTATGACTTAGCACTAAACAACTTATAGGCTGTAAAGAGAATATAAAAGCAGTACAAAAGGATTCAGAAAGTAAACAAAGTAAAATACATGAAAATCTTAAAATACTTGTAGATACAAATCAGGTAAATCTACAGAATCAGGTAAATGTATACAACTGTGTGAAATTTCAGAAGTTTTGCGTATCTGTACGCACACAAACGTGAACAATGCAGCCATCATCATTTAATAATAATAGTGAAATATCCAGCTTTTGAAGAAAGTGCCTTACTAGCTTTGCAACTACAATATGTGTTGCTAGCTCCTGTACTTTGCATTTTCATTCAGCCCTTTTGAACATTCAAAGTTGATTTTTCTTGTGAAAACACCAGTTATAGCAGAAATTACTATCATCTACTAGCAGCCTCAATTTTCTGGGATGAATTCATACTAAGATTTTCTCTTTCAACTATTCAAATCTCTGCAGATGCAATACCAATTTATTCCAAGAAATTTAACAGACTATAAAAAAAGGTACAAATCTCACCTCAGCATCATCTGCTTCATACCCATCATTACCATCAGCACTACCAGTTCCTTCATTACTGTCATCACCTTCATCCCCCATCCCTGTGTCTTCATCATCATCCTCGTCTTCCTCTTCCTCATCCTCATAGTCCTATGACAAAATCATAAAAAAGCCTTAAGGAAGTGTGGAAAAGGTAGTGGAATAATTTCAAATCTTAAAGTGGTACACTTCACTTTGTGGTACATAGACCACCTCTGCCTGTGGATCTCTTTCTGAAGATGTTCAGCATTTATTATCCACAGAGGACACGTATTTTTCAATTGCTTTGGTAGGTTGACCTTGGCTGGCTGCCACAGACACCCACCCAGCCACTCCCTCACTCCCTCTTCCACAGGACAAGGGTAGAAAATACAATGGAGAAACTTGAGGGTCAAGATAAAGGCAGGCAGATCACTTACCAATTAACATTATGGGCAAAACAGACTCAACTCAGGGAAAATTATTTGTTGCCAATTAAAAATAGAGTTGGATGGTGAGAAACAAAGACAAAAACTACACCACCTTCCCCCCACCCCCTTCTTCTTCCCAGGCTCAACTTCACTCCCTCATTCCCAAGTCCTCTTCTTCCTCCCCCAGCCCAAGCAGGGCAGAGGGGACAAAGAATGGGGGGTTGCGGTCAGTCCATAACAGTTTCTCTCAACTACTCCTTCCTCCTCATACTTTTCCTCCTGCTCCAGTGTGGGTCCCCTCCATAGACTGCAGTCCTTCAAGAACTACTCCAGCAGTGAGTCCTTCCCACTGAAAGGCTGCAGTCCATCAGGATAAACCTGCTCCTGCACTGGCTCCTCTCCACGGGCCCCCAGCTCCTAGCAGTAGAGCCTACTTCTCCATAGGCTGCAGTTTCCTCCAGGGAATATCCTCCTCTCCACAGGCTGTAGGGGAATATCCGCTCCATTGTGGTCTCTTCCATGGGCTACAAGGAATATCTGCTCCAATGCCTGGAGCACCTCCTTCCCCTCATTCTTCTTTGACCTTGGTGTTCACAGGATTGTTTCTCACTTTTTTTTTCCCCCCTCCTCACACTAACACAGCGTTTTGCCCTTTCTGACATATGTTTTCACCAGCTGATGGGCTCGGCTGTGTCCTGCACTGGGGCCACTGCAGAGCCAGCTGGAATAGGCTGTGTCCGGCATGGGGCAGCCCCCAGCCTCTCCTCACAGAGGCTGCCCTTGTATGTTGAATAGTCACAGATAAACTAGAGGCACTGTGGAATTTCCTGACTTCAAAAAAATCAAGCTGAATCAGCAAGTATCTTTGAAACACTAGAAGTTCAGGCTACATAAATACAGACTATTTATACAGTCAAAAAAGAAAATTTGATTAAATTCACCTGCCAGGTGACCTTTACATCTGATCAAAGACAAAATCATAAATAGAGTAGTTCATAAATAAAGAGATTCCATGATATACATACTTCCTGCTCGCCTTCGTTTTCTTCATCATCATCGTCTTCATCATCACTATCAATTACAATGACATCATCTCTCTTGGATTGACCATCCTGACATGAAGAAGTATTTTGTTGATCTGACTGAAGAGGTCCAAGATCTATTGGGATAGACTGGGAAGTTTCTTCACTATCCTCCATGGGAGTGTACTCTCCCTGTGTAACACCCTGTAAAAGATAAAAGTAAATTACCAGAAGAAACAAAACGAAATGCAGCATATACAATTCTTATAATGTTCTTCAGGAAAGTGTCCATTGTATTTCTAAGAGTTTCCTGTTTCCACTCCTAGCTCTCAACTTCGACCAAATGAGGCCTGCTCTGCAACACAAGTACAAGTATTTTGTCCTTCACTTCCAAATCTGATTTGGGATGGGTGCCATTATTAGGGATACTGTATTCATATATGATGCATTTGAATGCACATCCACAAAAAGCTGCTGTCTAAATATTTACCCATCTATTTCTGATAAGCAAGGAGCTATCACCATCACCTGCACAATAAGCAAATACAGATACAGGGAGCATTGTTGACAGCTGAGGAAGCACTCTGCCATTACTGCACATCCAGCCGGAACAATTGCCTGCTTACTTAGAGCGGCACTCTCTGAGCACACCACCAACACTGCAGTTACTGTCAGTGCACAAGACTGTTGATGGGACAATGAGAACAGAAACAAGAAAAACACTAGTTATTGCTGTTTCTTAATAACTAACCAAGACAGGAGAGGACAAAAGAGAATGCTACAGATGATTGTCAGCAAACAAACTACACACAACTAAAAGTCTCTCCAGGATCAAGGAACAACCATCTCTCTTCTAAGCATGAACTCTGAGCTGCTGTTTTACAGTTCTTTTGGTCTGGAGGAACAGTAATGCAATTCACGGGATAGCCAGACACAGAGCTAGCAAATAGTTCTCTTTCCATTCAGCACATATGTATATTCAAAGCACTTATGTATATTCAAAACATTTGAACGGAATCTGACAAGTATGACTAGAAATGTTCAGAAAAATAATGCATCAGGCAAAGTCCCCCACAACCTCTTTTTTTTTTTTAAAAAAAAAAAAAAAAAAAAAAGTATTTGGGATTCTACCACACACATTTTGTAGCATTCAAGACTTTTGGTTTAGGTACGATAACTAGGTTCTGTCGTTTTCTGAAGAACGTGTCACTTTAATGTTGCTAATGGTTGTCTACCAGCAGAATTCAAATAATCACATTAAGTACTAGAACTGTTAATAAAAAAACATTTAAAGATGCTTATGGAATAGAAAGCACACAGCTGGGATTTAATGGGGAGAGAAATGTTTGTCATACCTTCTAAACATGTGAAGGATATGAGGGGAAAAATGCCTGTCTGAAGACTCAGTACCCACCACTGCTTAAAGAAAATAGATTCCACACCTCAACATGAGGTTTTGCCAAGTTAGGGAACTACCATAACACTTTTGCTCATTTGTGAGGTAAAAGGAGATTAAATTAATGGTTTTCACTTTTATTTGGCTTTCCTAACACAGCTACAATGGGCATTTTACAGAACTAGAACAAAATCAACTTTTTTCCCTTTGTTTATCACTTCATGACCCATCTAATACTATGTTTGCTCAAGGATTTGTCAGATCTTTCTGTAAAAGAAAAGCCAGAAGGCAAAGAAAAGTACTCCAAAGGAGTAAGCGAAGAACTGAAAACTCCAATTCCATTTTAAGACTGTGACTCATTTAACCTCTACATCTCAGTTTTACTATATAAAACTGGGCTTAAGGATACCAGGATTTCTAAAACAACACATTGAATTACTATTCAAAATTGTAAAGCTTCATTAATATTCTGAATGTTACTTATATAGGTATGTGTAGAGTGCAATAAAAATTGAGTCTCTATCCTTGAACATTGCAAGTCTAAACTTTAAAAGGTTGCAAGTGGTTTCCATTGGAAAATTGCAGGATGTGATTTGAGATTTCACTTCTAAAAATACTGAGAGTTTGGAAAAAAGAAAGAAGATAGCTATTTCTGCTGAAATGAAGATTTTTTTTCTTTTCAAATATGCTTACTTCTCCAATTGAGTCTTGTGAGTCTTGATTGTATGTTTGAGCTTCTACCTCCCCATCTGTGCTCTCTTCTGCTGTTACTTCCTCCTGAAAGAACATATATTTTTCTCATTTAAAACACATCATTAGCCCTAAAGTTTGGTTCTTTAACATGTTTGAGGTTTTTTTTTTTTTTACTTTTTTTAAAAAATTACCTTTTCCCACCAAGATCACAGGCAACATTTTGTTCCCCTTTTACTATTACTCCTTAGCTCTGCTTTTATCTAACATCTTATCTCTCTGCCCTGGAAAAATACAATTTCCCCATTCCAGTCCGCTGGACCTCAGTGTCTCTAAATCTTTTCAGGACCAAAAAAGAACCCTCAAGGTTTCCCACTCCACCTCCAACCTCTCAGCTAATTAAGTGATAATGTTCTTACACAATCTTGTCCTTTTCCATTATGCAACATCCCTCTCGTACAGAGTTAATAAAACGACTGACTTCCTTAACATTATTCATGAGTTGCCTGCTGTGAGGTTCTGTCTCAACTTCATTCTTTTTTTCATCCCAGTTCCCTCACATCAATATTTCACATGCATCTCCTGTACACTTTTCCATGGAACTCATCTTTGCTTCCCTGGCATTTCCTCAAGTACACTGTATTTTATTCCAGGTAACTGTAGATAATGACCTTCCAGACCACATAGAAAAATGTTTTAACTTCCTTCTCCTCAATGATAGGATACGGCCCTCTCTTTTCCATCCTACAGTTCATTAAGATTTGCATCATTCATTGCAACTGGTATAACCTCTGCCTTTTATGATACCCAAACATAATTGCTTCCTCCCCAATAGTTTAAAAAGTCACATTAAGAATTAACTGACTTGCTCTGAAATAATATACTCGTTCTTCCCATTAAAATCTTCCAAAGGGACAGATTAAGTAGTAGCATTTTATGTTCTTGCAAACCTCAGGTCCAACTCTCTGTATGCTTCTCAGTTTCTTTGGAAGAGGTACATCCACTGTTTCCTCTGAAATTTGGTCTGAGTTTTCCACAGTGTTATCCTCCTCCTCCTCTCGTGGACGTTTAGACAGTGACGAACTTGGGGTAGCTGAAACTTAAAAGAGCCTCTCAGTTATTTTCAGAACAACAAATGTACAAAACAGAAAATCAAAAGGTGTGGTATTTTGCTCTGGAAGATCATCTCCTTTTCTGCATTGAATGGTAACAAATAGAATCAGATAGGATCACCTTGTGCCATTTCCTAGGACATAAAAACGTCAGCCCCTTTTGTAACAAGTCTTTTGCTCTTGGACCGATATTCACAACCTAATTGACCCCAAATGTAAGCTTCAGGGTACAACTAAAATATTTTTTACAACACCTTTGCTTCTGACAAGCACACCTAAAAGTTTAACAGAGTATCAGCTGGGAAACAAAAAAAGTAGTTTACAAAAGCGTATTTTGGGGAATAAACGTTCTACACCAAAATCTATGCTATATAGGGCAAACAGATGTGCAACAGTGTATCACACTGAGTAGCTTTAGAGTTCTCTATATTTTATATTCCAGTGTAAGTAGCTTACTCATGACTCCTAAAATTAACCTTGCTCCAACAGTACCATGGAAACAGGCAGCAAGGTTTAATGTATTAAACCCCAATGCTGCTTTGAATAGATAAACATGTGAGTTTTTATTTTCTGCTTTAAGGAATGCAATGACAACAGCATTTCAGAGGTGCCATTTCTGAAGGCTCAAGAAAGGAGCCTAACCTCAGAAATTTGTAAGACATGCAATCAACTAAGGGGCGGGGCGGGGGGGGAAAGAGCAAATTCTTTTGCTGAAGTTAGGCCTGGTTTGACAAGGGTCCAAATGGCGCTACTTAAAAGGAACTATTCAAAAAGGTAGGCCTATAAAATAAAACCAACCTGTGCCAAACACTGCGGTAGAAGTGGAGGGCCTCTCCATTTGAGAGCTCTGTACAACTTCTACAATGGTAGGGGATGGCTCCTGATTAGCAGGCTCAATCTGAGGATGACTTTGCTGAGTGGGCTGCACAAAAGCAGTCGCTTGCGTCTGTTGCTGAACAGTCAAGATGGGCTGAGAGAGAGATGTCTGAACATTAGGACTGGTGGAACGCACAGACCCACTAGTGCTTCCAAAGACTGGAACATGCTCCACAGGTCCTTCTGATTGCATAGCTGAAAGGCAAACAGTAGCACATTCAACTGTCTTCATATTATCTAGTACAGTTCACATTCCCCATTTCAGAATGCCCTAAATAAGCAGACTCAATGTTTTGCAGATTCAGTTAACGCTGCTTATACCCGTCTTCAGTTGAGGAATCATGAACTTTTTTGCAACAGAAGTGGTCATAAGTGTGCAATATTGAAAGAGATGCAGGGACAATAAAACTATTTGAGGAACTTTCAAACTAATAATTACCAAGATTTCAAGGCAAAGGTAGCATTTATGATTACTGTAGATCCTTATACTATACTAAAATGCTTACCTTCCTGAGTCTCCACCTGTGTTGTAGGCATAACTGTGGCTGTTGGAGTAGTGGTAGGATTAGTGACTGTAGCAGGAGTAACCATTGGACGGATACTGGCTCTTGGAGTAGACTTATTCCCAGCTATTGCAGCAGCAGTCACTTTACTTGGAGTTGACACAACAGGAGTTGGTTTAATATTTGCTGTTGGTGGGTCTGAAGTGCTAGCACTGAAAAACAGGATATTGGTTTCATCATGGTAGATCAGAAAGCAGATTTTAAACATACCAAATGTACATATATTATCATAGCCAGAAATACTAATTTTTAAAGGTTTAAAATTTAAAAGCCTGACAAGGGCATAATGAATTGTCTTCCAAAATTTGTTTATAGTTAAAAAAGAAAAAAGACAAGACACACTATGCCATCAGTAGCATTCTGTCCAGCTTAGAGGTTTGACAGGTTTCTTCAAAGGTAATCAACTAGAAATCTATAAGCACATCAAAAGGAGCAGTGCGTAGCTTGTACTATTAGCTGTCCTGGGTCTTTATTACAGTGAGTAATACATCTTACATTAGAACTAACTGATTCACTCAATACAGAGCAAAGATCTGCCAAATATTAACAGGCATTTTTGAAAGCCTTGCTTTCAAAAGGGTGCTGTCATAAAAACTGAAAAGGAGTTTGTTATCTAAACTTAGTAATACAGTCATATTTCCCATTTTAGAGCTTAGTCATTTGACTATTTTATCTGTTGTCAGAGTTATCACCTATTTAGTCCGTTTCTCATGTTTGAGATTCTTGCACAAGAAAGATCCCCCCCCAAACCAAAAAGGTTAAAGGTAACAATCAAATCTGTACAACTTCAAGAATCTTGAAGTCTGAAACATTTTTTAAAAATCTTTTCTGTTTCCCAGATACCATGTTCCTGGTGGTTAATATGACAATTAAACAGCTTAAAAGCTTTATTGATCAAATGTAGCTGAGAAAACAAGAGGAACATATTGATGTCAATCAGTATCTTCAAAGTTGCTTAAGAAAAATTGTGAAAAGCTTGTGGTTTACTAAACAGAAGAGCAAGTAGATAAAGACAAAACCAAGAAACACCAACCACAGAAACTCTGCAAAACCCCCAAACCCTTCAACTCACATTCCTCTTTCACCTGAAGCTGGAGTAGACTTGAGTGAGATTTGCCTCTGCTGTTCTGGGACCTATTAAGTAAGAAAGAGAAGCATCATGCCACGTACATATGAAACAGAGCGAGCAATTTGGTAAAATACTTCAGCAGACAGATCTCTACTAACAATCGTTTCTCTAACAGACTTGTTAGCATACCTAGTCAGACTCCATGATCATTGCAAATTCTCCAAAACAAATCATACCGGTCATACCAAGTATGCAAACCAATTCGGTAATTTCTCAGGTATTTTCTGAAGCTATTGAGACAATAGCAGCTAGAACCCATTATACTGAACGCATGGATAAAAATACAAAAACAAGAGAGTAGAGTGCAAACAGTTCTTTGGCCGATTCACAGTGAATGATATAACTGTATGCTTGTTAGCACTGGGAATTTTGACTATGGCAGGAAATAAGTTTTAAATTAAGTTCTGAATCCTTACTAAAGCCAACTTGTATATTTCCAAAATCAGGGGACAGTGGAACTTGAATAGTGCATAGTTTGTTGGGCTCATTGATATTTTTTAATTTTCTTTTTTTTCTTTTCTTTTTTCTTTTTTTTTTTTTTTTAAAAAGTGTAGGATTCCTATGACAAGAATTTCCATCTGCTATTTAAGATCTTTAGAAAAAACACCTTCACGTAAAGTAGTCCTGAGTATTAACTACAGTATACACAAAAACAAACCAAGTTGGACAATGGTGCTCGTACTGACAGCTGTTTTTCTCATTCAGTCATGAGACACAGAAGCTGTTTGCTTCCTCTCACACAGCTAGCTAAAAGGTTTTTGTACCTTATTTGTAGACTCTGGTGGCTCGTCTCGCTGTTCATGGTGTCGCTCTTGCTGCTCTCTAAGTTCTCTTTCCAGACGGCAGATTCGACCTTCATACTGTGATTTGAGTGCACTCATCCGCACCTCCAATTCAGTCTTCTGCTCTTCTAATGAACTGCTCTTTTGCTTCCACTCTTCATTTTCTTTTGTTAGCTGTTCTTTCGTACCTAATTGAATAGGAAAGAATTCAGTCTTGCCATGTAAACTTGCCTACTAAGTCTCTGCATGCTGAATACCCGTCTGTTTTAATAGGTTACTGAAGCATTTTGAAATTTTAAAAATGTTAAGCTATCAAAGGAGCTCTTAGAGGTAATTTTAACTTTCACATGCGATTTTTCTATTCA